GGGAAGGTTGGATATGTTATCGGGAGTGAATTCGTTCAGCTCTTGGAGCTCTTGACGAAGTTTCCATTGCACCTCGGGGTGGCGTGCAAGCTCCAACAAGGTGAAGATTACGGAGCAAGATGTAGTCTGCGACAGCGTCAGAAGAGAGAACGCAAGACGTGACATACTGACATACCTCGTGTCCAACCATACTGCGATAGGGGCAAGTTTAGCCTAACGAAAGTTCGCCAAACGAACAGACAAGAGGTTACGACGTACATAAAAGTAGAAATCTGTAGGGAGGAAAACATCAGAGGGGACAAAGGCAAGGAAAAGTCGTGTACGTACGTTCTCTAGCAGTTCCCAATCCTCAAGAGCATCTTCACCCTTTCGGTTGAGTTGGTCGCGGACTAGGATCGAGAGCATGTCCCTCCCCTCCCCATCGACCTTCTCCCGAGCTCTGTGCTCTTTCAACATGTCCGCGGCGATTTTAAGCGCAATCGTCTTGGTGACGCCATCTTTTTGTAAGGCTGGAATCGGTAGATGGTTTATGATTGGGAAAGCACCGATTACGACAGGTGCTAAAAAGCCGGCCATAGTTCGACCCATCTTGACGTCCTTGTGCCATGCCTCACTAATGGCCTTGGCTTCAGAGCTTTCTCCGTTACAGAAGTCGTGCCCAAACGCGATACGTCCAACGATGTCCAGGGTGGCAGAAGCAACAAGAGGCTCGATGTTTGTGGTGATAGATTCATCATTTCGGGCGTGAATATTCTTCTTGATACCGGCAACGAGCTTCTCTGCGCATTCTGAGACGTCGTCTTGCATTCCACGTACCGCGGAGACCGTGAAAGCAGGACTGATGAGACGACGTTGGTGTTTATGGACATCGCCGTGAGCCCAGACAACCCCTCGTCCAATGAGCTTCACGGTGATAGGCAGAAATGCAGGAGCTTTCTCGTATCTGTAGGCGTTCTGGAGAACATGAGAAGAGGAGGCGTTATCACCGGCAACGAGCTATGGCATGAGGGGTCATGAGATCAAATGGGTCGACGCGGAAGCAATCTGGTACGCACCACGTCCCGCTGGAAAAATGGGGCTTTGATTCGATAAACTGGACCTAACATCGCCGTCCACTCCAAGTATTTCTTGCTTACTTCCTCCTTCCACACTGAGAATTCGTGTCCCCAGAGCCAATGAGCGTCTTCCCGCGGCTGTAGGAAGTCAGGGTGCTTGATTTCCGGATAAGATTACTGGAACACTTACCGCGCAGCACACACTTCGTATAGGCTCCCGTAGATATTGGATATATCTCAGAATCAAATAAAGAGCGACGCAGCCTGAGGCAACCCCGACGTCCAAGAACGAGGGGGACATGGTGGTAGTAGGAGGGAGAGGAAGTGTGACTATAGAGTCAACATCCTGTCCACGCTTGCGGCTTTTATCCGGGATCTGAGCGGCCAGCGCTGTCGGCAGCACCCAAGGTTCGCAACATTCTTTTCAGGTTCTCAATATAATCAAGTAGCCCTGAGTAACGGCTGGAAGTCCCTGGTCGGAGAACACTTGGATACCAAACGACATGTAGCCAAACGAGGTTACTGTGAAGGTTCTGCAGGCTTGATCCAAGTCTGGTGTCCGATGTAGTGCACGTTGTTTCTGTCCGCCGTTGAGGATCGAAGCCGATGAACCACCCGACCTGATGGAGGGGCCCTGACGAGTTGATGGTGGTGAGAAACAACTTCAAGCAGCGCTAGCGTATCTTACGTAAACTATTTTTTTCACTCAATCCGCAGGGCCGCTCTCATCCACCTAGGGATATAAGCTCAAAATGCTTGCTGGCGGCCATTGAATCTCGTTACTTGGCCTTGACTTGGTCTAGGCTACTCCTCTAAATATAATTGCTGGCCCGGTGTGTCATGACCTATCATCAATCAAGCCTGCTGCCGTCGGAGCTCCCAGTACTGACAATGACACCCGTAGCATTCGTTCTGTCGCCCTGATACTGGCAGCAAACCACACCAGCTATGCTTGTGTGCACGAAGGTGACGAGTTGGAGGAGCCGGACGCCTCAGGGAGGGACCGGAGAAAATGTTGAGTACCGAACAGTCATCGATTCTTTGTATCTCGCGTCCGAACTTTTTTCAGCACCCATTGCCCTCTGGCCGCGTCCTACTCTGTCAAGACCAGTTTCGACATGTCGTTCTGAAAAACTGCGCTCCGGATTGGATTAGACTCACATTTTGTGGCCTTTTTTCATTCGTCCTCGGATGCTGTATCAAGGAGACATACAAGTCAATCGGCGTGTCAAGCTTCGAATGGTGACTTGCGAGTCGAAGAACAGCGAAAGCCGCCTTCAATATACTGGTTAGGAGTATTCACCAGCTCATAATTTTTACACGGTCGAAAAACTCACCGAAACCCCTGTCTATTCAAAGTCCCTGCTACCGCCACTACGCCACCAGCGACATCTCGCATACACTAAATAGGTCTAGATTTGCTTTAACGATAAGGAGGATTGTCACGTTCAAGGCACCGCTTTATGTCGATCTTCGGGGTACAAGCACTTTCTTTTCACCCGTCCTCAAAGTCATCAATACCTACAAGCTCGTATCTGCCCTCGGCGAACTTCGACTCAAGTGGCCTTGACTCGTGTATCCGAATCCCAGCTGGGCTCGATCAGCATCCCCTACTGGAACTCAAGATAATCTTCTGGCCAGTATTGTATCCCAGCGGTTTCCGCTGGCCTTTGTGTGGCGCCGCTGTGGAAATCCCGAGGCGCTTCGAGCTAAGTAGACACATATCGACAGGAGCTCCTCCGTGTCTTCTATATATCATGCTTTTTGACGTGCGCTCGCTCGGTGTTTCATGCTGGTAGTACATAATCAACTGCGGGCCTTTGGTGGGTCTTCTTTTTCTCGGCTGATGCGACCTGTTCTTGTTTCTGTCTCTGGCGGCGTATTTCTCATGTTTGATGTTATCCCTGCTCGAGCCTAGAGCTTTGGGAGCCATGAAGTCGCTTCATCGGGATTTTTTTGGCTTTTCGGGACCTTCAACGTCAAGCTATTCCTTCTATTCCACATAAGAAGTCCATGAGGTTCACTATTCTGTGGGGTATGCTAATCTCTATGTTACAGGTATGAAAATAATACAGTACTAAGGCGTTCGGTTACAGGCGGTATCGCAGGAAGGACGAGAAATCAACGGTTTCCGAAGAAAGGGGTGTCGAGAATTTCTGGATATTTGAACATAGAGTCAGAGGAGGCTCAGTGTGATATGCGCAATCACTTTGACTTACGTGCTTGAGCTCTCAGAGAGCTTGGGAAGTAGCGAGATCTCTTAGCTTTGAAATTCGCGCACACCTCCAGGAAACAAGGACATAGACCGCCCTGATTTCCTCCTCAGACATCTGCAAAGCCACGAGACTAGGAAACTCGCGTCGAAGGCTGTCGATGTCGATCCCGGTGCCGACATGGCCCTGAGGGGCGAATCTCTGGGTATCGCGAACAACGCCCGCTTCTCCGAGCCATTGCTGCCATCGAGCACTGAAGATACCCTCTCGGGCTGCCTCTTCCCGCGCATCCAGGGTCATGTCTTCTTCCTAATGTCACACAATCATTAGCAGCGTTACGGATCGTGATAAAGCAAGAGACAACGCACAGCCAGTTTCTGGTATGCCGCTTTATCGGCAAAAGTCCAAGGTTGGTTAGCTTTTGCTTCTTTGATAGTCTCGCACCGCAGGGCGTGCTTGTCCCAGTTGGAACGGTAGAACCTTCCATTGCGTTTGTCAAGCGATATTCTCTTCCCACAACCTCTACAATGTACCCTGTTGGACCCAATCGTGGTTCGGTCGATCCATACTTCATTCAGTAGCATCTGGAGTCTTTCGTCGTCGTTCATGTACACTCCTTTGTTGCCGGCCTTTGGCATAGTAGAAAACTCGGCGTAAAGTTCGAGAAGAAATGAAGAAGCTGAGGTTTGTCTCGCGGCGGGTGCGAGACGGATAGTCGAAGGGGTTTGAGTTGTACCTTTCGAACCAGAAAGCTAGAGTCTTTATACGCCTATTCATCCATTGTGGATTGGCCATATTCCCACCTTCATTATACTCCAGGTCCTCTCCCTCTCTGGAGGGAATAATGGGCCATAGGTTGTTGACGAATGCGGATAACCCACGCTCTTTGTTGATTGAGCAGTGATCCAGCGCTGAGTTCCTAAATTTGGCGAACGGTTGCGCCGATCTGCAAATTAGCGCCCGCTAACTCCGAGAGGACAATAGCCCTCTGGGTTCTTCAGGGTCTTCAAGGGAAGTAGACTTCTCTCAGGGACATATTTCTGCGGAATATCTTGCCTCATGGTGCGTATGTATTGTCTGCATGACTTGTAAGATTGAATAAGCTCCCGGGTTGCAGCAGTCCTCCGAAGCTTGAAGATATTCATGAGTGGCACCCTTACTAGTGGGAAACTTGTGATGGGCCCGATGTGTTTCACCAGTGCATCTCTCTGGAATCGGTCGGTCACTCAGGGTTCTAGGCACTCCAAGAACTGTTCCATGTACCTCTGATTTTCCGAGTCGGCATGACATGGAGAGTTGTGATTATAGCGAGGGAACACCCTCGTTGAGATCACGACCCAAAAGGGAGTAAATTTGATGTTTAGAGTCCTTACCCAGAGTGACTCTGAGGCTGAGAGTGCGTACCCATGAGGCAAAGTCACGAATGCCGAGTCCATGGGGTTTTCCCCGACATGCCCGGAAGGCTATAGCGAATCCTAGGATTCGATCAAACAGCTCACTGGAGAATATCATCCGCTCGTCGCTGTGACGCAGCAGCTTCCTCGGACTGCCTATAATGCCTACAGGATCGGCCATAGTAAGATCGGGCGCTCTAACCCATAGATTAGCACGAGTGAGCTCATAAGCGATGGCGTCCACAGCGATTTTTCTGGGATGAAATCGTGCAGGCACTGCGCTTGAGTCTCAGGAGTGGCCAAGGTACTAGGACGGCTACATGCCTCTACAGATAACTGCTTCCTTGGCTCAGTTGGCTAGAGCGCAGGTCTCATACATTCGTATGAAGCTTCATAGAAGCTGCAATCCTGAGGTCGCAAGTTCGAGCCTTGCAGGGAGCATAACTTTTCACTTTTGGCCCTGCCGTCCGTGTCATTCAAGCCTCATTATTACCGCCACTTTCATTCGTATTCTACTAGATCTTTTGCAAGCTTTTCACATATCTTCCCCACCCTCCCTCCAATCCACGTCTGAGCTTCCTTCCATTCTTCACTATCCTTCCCACATACGAGCCTCAATCCGCCAAACAACGCCGCGATTGTGAAGTCCCCAAACGTGGGTTCCTTCCCCATTATAAACGTATTATCACCGACGTCCGCTTTCTCAAAGAGCTTGACCAATTCCACATTGAACGCAGCTTTCGACCTTTCCCAAGCAGCCTTCTGTTCCTCCTCAGACGGAAACAGTACCGGACCCGAAACACTCTCCCGTTCTTTCTGAAATTCTTCGGAAACGTACTGTCGATACCTTGTCCTCACGATGTTATACTGAATGGGTACGAATCGTGCCCATACGCCATCAGCTTGGAACGAAGCCTGAAGGAGTTTGGTCCCGGGTGGAATAACAGTCGGAGTGTCAGGATATTTAGAGTCGAGGTATTCGGCGATGAGGAGAGAATCCATAACGACGCGGTCGTGCTTGGAGTCATGGATGAAGGGAACGGTGTATCGAGCGGTCCCGTCAGGTCTCGTACCGATCGCTGTGGGCTTCGCGTTGAGAGACCTAGCAACGTTTCCGAACTCGCTCCATCGAAGTGGTACGATTTTGTGCTCGAGCTTTTTATAGCGCAGGATGAGCCTGGTGAATGGAATTCTTTGAATGGCTGGCTCAGCGGGTGCAAAGTACGCTTACACTATGATGCGAACGAAAGGGGAATAACCGAAGGTCGCGTTCGCTCGTAGAGTTGTTGGGCCTATGTCGTAGAGAGTGATCATGATGGTGGGTTGGTGAGCGAGGCAGTCACTGTCAGCAAGCTGCAAGGTCCCCAGAGTTACCTTAGTCATTTGGAGATTGGCCCAGCTGACCAACCACACCCGCTCCTGATTAACAGTGATTGAATCTGTCTTGCTAATAGCAATACGAGGGGGCTTACCAAGAAGAGAACCTGCAGGCAAGCAATTCAATACGAATATAATATACAGTACAGATTTACACAACACGATGAACAAGTACAATCCACGCTAGGCAGATATCAAAGGATCGTTCTACAGCACTACAAGCGTGCGCAAGATGGAGAGGAAAGCATAGAACACACAAGAAGGAAAGAAAAGGAAAGTAATATGGACTCCGTAGTCCAACATCCGAGTGCCCCCATGCTTTGAATCTCATTTTCGCCAAAACAGCAGTTTGCTGAACGCCGACCGCTTCTGTTTGGGTCGCCTTCGTTCTACGAGGTAGACTCGCTCCTCGTTCACTCGAGATACACGCCGATACGCTTTCCCTGATGTAGTGGAATCGAAGCTCCCACTCGAATCGAAGCTTTCCATTTCCCGGAACAGGGTGTAGGTATCGTGTTGGGGGGAATCAACTGCGATTGAGGGAGAGGTGGGATTAGTATAGGTTCGTTGACGGAGAGGGGAGATAGAGCATACGGGAGGTACGGTAGGTCACGTTCATTGTGAAGTTTTGTTTGTATCGAACACTCGAATCTGTGAGGAACTCGTAAGCATAACCGCAGGAACTGAAGGGATTGATCTACTCACTCCTCAAAGAGCGAATTCAAGAGGGGTTCGAATAGTAGTTGTTGGTGGATGTGGGTGGGGGGGTTGATTGGAAATACAATCGGAGCTTGGGTATTTATCCCATCCTAGACATGGCGCTAGGAATATCAGTGGAGCCTGTTTCCTCTTTTTGCTCGGGTTGTACGTCGTTATGGAGTGATCGAGAGGCATGTATACCTATTTCTGAATACGCTGTGCCAGGGCACCGTTATCCCACCGGGGTTTGCTGCCTAAAGTGAATGTGAACCGGGGACTAGGTCGGGGGATATGTAAGGCTAGACTCGTGAGAGGGACCCACTTGTGATACGGTAGATCCCGCCCGACTGCCGAGGAGGGCACCGACACAGCTGACTGAGAGGTGACTTGACAGGTATACAAGCGTTGAATCGTTGGGTGTCGAGTCGTCCAAATTTTTATGAGGCCGATGGGTACACAAGGCTCGTCAAGACCTCCCCAGGTACCAAGGAACGCGTCTGAAGCGGGAGTGGCAATTAGTGAAGCTCAAGTAATCACTCGAGGATGACATGAGCCCGCCTACGCGAATACGCGAAATGAGAGTTAAATTTCAACGACGGGCGGAATGAAGTCATGTAGCGTCCGTCATTCCGCCGGACTCGTCGAATATTGATGAAATAAGTACCCGGTCCCGCGCTATTGAGATGGTTTGAAGACTCTGGGTAGAGCATTCTGGTGCGGTTGCCACGATCAAGCTCAAAGATGCGGGGTTTTGATTTGATATGTCCTGGCATGAGTAGTGGGTTAACGATGGACACGTCAATGGAGGGTAAAAAAGATTGCATGTAGGACGGTAGAGATGTATGTTTGAAACAAGCAAGCTCCAGGACGTGGTGAGAAGAAACACAGCTTTGGTGATTTCCGCGGTAAGTCCTTTCCTTCCTTCGATCATCAGTAGCTGGAGCCCGAGGAAATCGATGCTCATTAGTGATAGACCAGATCTCAAAGCGCTCGAGCATATGCTAGCTTGAACAACTCTGCGGGCCCGAATGGGTAAGGCGAGAGGATATGGAGATGATTGGACCTGCTTTCTCAGCTGAAGGTCGTGTAACGTTGACTTCGAATGAGGGACGGCATTAAGGATGCAGAAGAATCCCCGCCGAACGGTGCTGACCTCCGCATACGACAGTTCCAGGGTATAGCACGCATGAGGTGGTCGATCCAATTTCCGAGGGTCAGATGGATTGTAGCGTCGAGGGTTCGTCCGTTGTGCAAGGACACGCGACATCAGCAATCTTGGTTACGAGCTGCATAGCGGATTTGACCCAGAGACACTGAGTGGAGTGTCATTCGCCTGGAATCGACGGAGGAACCGAGAGGCATCAGCAAAACAGGGCGCTGAAGATCGTGTCAGGAAAGGTTATCCAGTGCGGAATTGGCACCGATCTTCGAAAGACCGTGGGCATAGCTATGCACGACCTAGTTATATTTCATTACTTAGCCCATTGAATATGCATCTAAGGATAGTTTGCGTAGCTGTTTTGATGATGATATTTATGTTTGTCTGTCGCAGAAACGAAGATCCCGAGCTCTGACGCTTTTGTCGGTTAAAGGGTGTAAGAGCCCAGAATAGAAGCACAGGTTTCTTTAAGCTTAGATTCAGAGTCCGGAGCCGTTAGAAACGAAGATGGCAGAGGTGTGGCCCATGAGATAGATCACAGAGGCCAAAATTTGAGAGATTGTGGGAGATTTCGCTGAGGAACCGGAAGAGTGTCGTGCGTGAGAAATTTCCTTCTAGGACCCTCAGCCCTGGACCTACCCTAGAGACTAACGTTGCCCTCTACCACCTGGCACCCACCCCAAATCGCGAAAAAGTCTCCTGTTCACAATACTCGTTGAGGTACGAGTCCTATGCTGAAGTCAGTTTTGATAGGTCTCATCTATCTTTTTGCTACCAGCCTGCGAATGTCGAATGGGTCTTGGATATCGTATCTGGCAAGCATCACAATGATAGGCTGCGGATGATTTTTGTCTTAGGTGCGTACATCACTCTTCTCATGCACCGTCCTTGTCACTAATCGATCCCTCAGCTCGATGAAGCATCCTAGCCTCCTCTCTCTTACCGTCTTCCTCAAGGGAAACCCACGGTCAGACGTCGCGCCTGTCGTTGAACCTCGGGGCTCAAAGTCAGACCCCAAGCTCAAGCTTAAGCTCCATGCACATGTGTCGGAGCCAAAGGTCAAATGGCCGTGAACCTACCGACTGAGCGGAAGCTTAACGCCCTGATAGGCTTCTGTTCGTACACTCTGCGCGATGGTCGGTTAGGGATTTGCTAGGGTACTGGAGAAGAATCTCGGCCAAAACCAAAGAGTCTAGGGCGGCTTTCGAACTCCTAGTACGTTCTCTTTCCAGTCATACCATGACATCTCACTAAGTTCCTTGGGGTCTCCCATATACAGTGCTAGTGTCTGCGCGAAGATCGTATTTCGATGCATGAATCCCCGATGGTCGCAGCGATTCTGACGAATGCTCGAATCTGGTTGGAAGAGCCTCTTGGATATCACGGTCAAAGCCACTCGCCTTGTGGTGCCATACAGCCTCCGAGAACTCCGTCTTATTGTTTGGAGGTCGACACTCGTTTATTCTCCCCATGACCATGGTACTCTCTTACTCGTCGCCTTTCCGTAGATATGGTGGCCTCCGGATTCAGGGTCAACGGGATCTCGACAGAGTGTGAGGAAACCTCTGATCTCGATGGGATCGCCATTACACGTTGCGCCTCGTTGTGCGTTGAGAAGAAGCTATCGATGCCTACCTGGGTTATCCTGTGAGTATCGATTTGCCTCCCTCGATTCCATAACACTCACAAGTATCCTGCACTTCTAGAGACATCGTACTTCGCTACCTACGACGAAGGCACTCCTAGTCGTCGAATTTGATGTTGGACTATACCATATGGATTTGCAACAATTCCCTCCGCGACCTAGCATCTGACTGTCATCGGTATCTCACGTTTCGAAACGTGTTTTCGGACCCTGTTCCATGGCCCCGGGGACTCTACATTGCCTCATTACATCCATTGTCCTCCAAATGCGACGTGAACCCTTAACCAGTCATCGTTGAACCAACCTCCCAGTTCGATGAACAATACACAGCACCATTGTTTCCTAACGGCATTCCTGCCACAGTATAAGAGGGGCCAGAAACCTTTTCTGACTACCCTCTGTTTCTGCCCACACATCGACCCATACCACATCTAGTCATTTCTTGTTCTTTCGTTTAGATTTGCCATGGCCCGCCGTATGAAAGACATGAAAGCCCCTTACCGTGTTCGTGAAAATGTCATCATATCGGACTTTATCCACAAAGTTAATCGAAATTGGCGA